GGGAGAAAATGAGAATGTGTACATGGTGTGGGAGTGAGGTGTGATATATGAAATGCTAAAAGATGAGATAAAAGATATAATCATGGGGAACCTCAAGTATGATGATCCAAGGAGCCAGAATTTTATCTTGTTCAGGTGATGGAATATTTGCAAATGGCTGACAGCAGAGAATAAACATATTCAAACTTGCATGGCAGACAGACAAATGGAGAGATAAGGAGACTGCGATGAAATGCGGAAACAAGTTTAAAATTGCTGGGTCTTAAAACAATATGATGATACCCATTGTTAGGAAGTTCCATTTTCAATCTTTCTTAAGACATTTCAGTCTGTCCTTAGAGAGTGGCTATGTTAAAGCCAAACTGGGTCTATGTGAATCATGCTATGGGTAGACTTAAATTAGGTCCCTCATTTCCAGTAAAGGAGCATATTATTTCTATGAACCCTGAAGTCAACATTACATCATCCAATGAAAAGTCTATATTGGTTTTACCTCTAATTTTCCCTAGGATTTCAGAATGCAGCTTTATTTTTCCACTTGGATAAATCAAAAGAAAGGTAAATACATATTCTCAGTTGCATTCTGATTTAAACTAAATAACAACTTATTGCTCACCTTCTCCCAAATGGTTCTGAAGCCAGTCTTTCCTCAACTGAGTGTTGGCTTTTTATACTAACCTAATGTCATATGGGAATAGTCTACAGCTGCACTGTCCAATATTCCAGTATGGTGGCCACTAGCCACATGTAACTATGTAAGTTTAAATAAAATATTCAGTTCCTCAGGTGCACTACCTATACTGCAAGTACTCCATAGTCATATGTAGCTAGTAGCTACTGAGTTGGACTGTGCAGATATAGAATATTTCATCCACTGAAGAAATTCTGTTGGACAATACTGGCCTAAAACAGAAATCTCTTTAAAAATCCCACCCTGGAAACACAGTAGACACTTCTTTCCTTTCTAAGGTGTTGATTCTATCTACATCATAATTTGTGTTCTTCAGAGACACAAAATATATTTGCATTTCATTTATAATCTAATAATTAAGCCTTCTTAATCTAGAAATTAAGTCATTAATACCTGAAATACATGTGATATTTGACCAATATTACAGGAAATCCCTGCTTATACTCATTTACTTCTGTTGAACTGATATAAATCAAATAAAAACATGAATATGAAAATTATTTATTTTAGCTCATGGAGTAATCTAAATAACTCAATCATGTTTTTTCCTTGCTATTCAAAGGCAAATATGGTAAAGAAATAAAAATTAAAATAGTTCATCCTTACTAGTTTTGAAATTTATAAAAGATAAGTTTTGAAAATATATATATATCTCCATAAGAATTATAAGATACTAAAAGTATCACACATGATACTTGAACATGAACGTACACAATTATAAATTAATCCCTTTTCTTTTCTTAAGTTTAACTATAAGAATGCAAACTTTTAAATGCAATCTTCTCGAATGAAATATTAAGGTTCCTCAAATGAGAATGGGTTCCCATACTTGAGTGTTTACATATTCTAGTTGCACAACACAGAGTCTAAGCTTTGTTCATAGGGCAGTCATGGGACAGCAAAACTAGGCTAGGACCAGAGATCACACCGCTAGAAAGAAGAAAACAATATTCATTTTGATGTGAAGTATGTTGATTAACAGCCAATTAAACAAATAACACTTAACCATTGCCACTTTTGTAGAAATTTGTTTTATCTGTTCTTCATACTTTCTAGTATTGTGCAGAATGCAGAGGAGTTACAACTGTTGGAAGCCAAATGCTATTCATGATCCCCACCCAGGGTGTGGGAGTACTGCTTGTACTATACTCACAGTACTGGTTCCAAGTCAATCTCATAATCAGGAATGTACTGCCAACCCACAGAGCAATGGATAGGGCGTGTATGGTAATTACACCACAAGAAAGAAAGAGACATTTGTCAGATACTCCTATTAGAAAACAGATAAATACTCAGATCTTGGGATGGAGTTGAAGAGGTAGAAAAGAAAATACTGAGAAAAAAAAAGAGATTAGACCATCCTGTTCTGAGGGTAAAAGAAAGTAGAATTAAAAGAATGACACGAAAAAGAGCAACGTCAATTTTTAAAAACAGTTACCACAAGAGAAACCTAAGTTATGTTTCTTCCTGCCCCTTCCCTACTGCTTTATGTATGTAGAGAACTATCTGAAAAGTATTAACTTAATAATTGCAGTAATAATCTTCTGTTTACAATTTTTCAATATCAACTACAATTTCTTTCTTGAGATCTTTTTTGTTCCTGTCTCATTTTGTTCCCAAAGTAATGAGAGCACTCAGTGCCAGTCGCTGCTTTTTGATAATTTATGCCCTATCTTGTCAGTCATAGAATTAGTTATCTTAAAGATCCAACCATAGTAGAACCCCACCAAAATACTATCTACCACAATAGATAACATAATGCAGTTCCATCTTAACCCCTGCACTGTATGGTTTAATGCAGAAAGAACTAAAAGTGCCTCACTTTTAGCCATTATTTCATAATACTATCTTGTTTTGCTGTATTAAAAATTATGTAATTTTGTTGAGGAGAGACTTAAGTGACTTCATAGGCAGTTAGTTGAATATCCAATGTCCCAACCATGTATCTGATATGTGTCTGTTGTCTTCTTTAAATCAGGATAGCGGAGTGGAAGAATCTTATTATTGTGATCTAGAGACTTGGATTCAAAATATAGCTTTGTTATGGATTATGAATTGTGGATTATGAATTATGGATTACAAATTATAAACTTCCCTGGACCTCTGAAAATGAGCTGTTTGGTTTAAATGGTATCCAGATTCCCTCCAATTCCAAATTCCATGATTTGAAGGTCTAGTGTCCCATATACTAGTTAGCTGGTTGTTAGCTAAAGAAATGCTGAGGAGATTATTTAGGTAAAGGATCCTTTCAAGGGGATGGGGCCTGGGTTAAGGAAAAAGCTATATATCAGAGGTTGGAGAAAAATTGTTTCTTATTAACAATAACCCTTCTTTCACACCCAAAGAACAAATTAAAATTTAGCAATTTTGTTTCTTCCAATTATTGTATCAGCTCAGGAATGTGGAACACAACTTAAAAAAAAAAAAGTCACAGTAGTGGGAGATCCTTAGACCAATACTTAGAAAATCTATGATAAAAATCTACAATCTCCAAAATAATAAAGCTCTATCATTAACTCGTTATGTGATCTTGGGTATGTTATTAAATCTTCACAAGCCCAAGAATATGTTTAGATAACATGTCCTCTAAGAGCTCTTCTAGTTCTAAAATTACTGAAACCCATTAGCGACTGCCAAATTTAAAAATCACAAAAATTGTACAGAATATTTGTTTTTAAAAGTTTAAAATGCAAATATTTTAAGAAAAAAATGTGTACAATAAACTGTGTACATTAATGATATTTACTGTCTTGCTTGATTTAGCACACATAAAAGGGATCCGTGAAGCCTGTCTCTCATGAGAATTAAATGAGAAACATGGGATTTATATGATTTTTCTATTCCTTTTTCTTTGCATAGTAGCTAAAATCTCCATCTTATCAATCTGCATTTTTGTTTGCACATCTAACATAAATTACTTCACTTTTAGAAAAAGCACTGCATAAAGACCAGCAAAGTTACTCAACTAGTGAGAATTAGTGCTTTTGAATTCTAAACCTCTAACATTCTTTTTGAATAATGCTTTTAGTATAAAGCAAACATAATTTATTGCTACTTTCAAGTTACTATATAATAATGGAGGTTTAAGGTAGTATAACTTCATAATAATCCAACATTTTCAGGTGTTTGTTTAACTAAGCTGTAAAATAGCCTCTGGGGGAATAACGAGTAGGTTCTTCATGAGAGAAAATGCTTTTGAAAACACTCAATAGTTAAAAAGATTTCAGGATTGTCCTGTATCAAACAATTCAAAGCACATTTTATAGTTTTTGAAAGATTTTCTTTTGTTTGTGCATTCTGTAACAAATACAAAATTTCTAAATCTGGAAATGATATCAAATATATAGTTACGTTTTGAACAAATAAGGATCTACGAGAATTATGCATCATCTTTGCAGATATAAAAGCGTATGTGGAAACAAGTTGGTCTGAGTTTCCTTAACACTTATATCCATGTGCATACACACATTATCTGAGAAGATAATATTACCTGAGAAGATAATAGAATCACATGCTACAATAGTCTAATATATTTTGTTATTAGTAATGAAAAGCAAATGAGATATATTAAATAGGCCATTATGGCATAATTTAACAGATTAAATATGTTTCTATTAATGTTTGATGTTTTTCCTATTTAACTCTCAAAGCAAGGTTCAAGTGTAAAAAAAATTCTCAAAGTTTCACTAATTCACATTACTACTAATTTACCAAATATTAAGACAAATAATCTTTTTAAAGTTAGATCACACATAAAAACATCAGCAATTATAATTTTATTATTACTATCATTAGAGACAGGGTCTTCCTTTTTGGCCCAGCTTAGAGTGTAGTGGCATGACGGCAGATCACTGCAGCTTCAAACTTCTCAGCTCAAGTGATCCTCCCACCTCAGCCTCCTGAGTAGCTGGAACTACAGGTGTGCACCACCACACCTGGTTAATTAAAACAATTTTTTTTGAAGATATGAGGTCTTTCTATGTTGCCCAGACTAGTCTTGAACTTCTGGCTTCAAGCAATTCTCCCACTGTGACCTCCAAAAGTGCTAGGATTAGAGGTGTGAGCCACCATGCCTGGCCTATAATTTCATTTTTAATATTCACATTAAAAAAAGACAGATACTACTCTGTCTTTTAAGTGTTAGAAATACTCATCTAAATTGGTACATATCTTCATTATATTTTGAAAATTTTAATGGTTTTATCTATTTGAATCATTGAAAGGTTTTTTTTCCCTCACAATGGACAAGATTCCTTTACATAATTGTTTCCATGAGGGCATGCTCAACAGAAGGTTAGACTAAATTATTGTTCATATACTGGCTGTTGTACAACATAAAAAAAGAGATTTCTCTTTTAAGCCATAGAAAGTGCCTAATCTCTTCGTATCACAATTCTAAAAGTTGTAACGTTGTATACAAATTTCTAAATTTTTACTTCCTATCTTTGAAAATTTTCAATGAAGATTATATGTAACTGTCTCATAAAGTTGGCTAATATTTTTGAAAAATTCATGTTATATAGTAACCTATATCAATTAAATATTCAATAATTTCCTCCATATTTCAAATTCTTTACTAATTTTCAACTCCTGAAATTGAAAAAAAATACAAACCTTTTACTCAAAGTAAAACAAAACTCAGAAAGTATGTTCAGCTCCAGAGCTATGCTTAAAACTTAGGTAACAGGCCAGGCCCGGTGGCTCATGACTGTAATCCCAGCACTTTGGGAGGCCGAGGCGGGTGGATCACGAGGTCAAGAGATCGAAACCATCCTGGTCAACATGGTGAAGCCCGGTCTCTACTAAAAATACAAAAAATTAGCTGGGCATGGTGGCGCATGTCTGTAATCCCAGCTACTCAGGAGGCTGAGGCAGGAGAATTGCCTGAACCCAGGAGGCGGAGGTTGCGGTGAGCCGAGATCGTGCCGTTGCACTCCCGGCTGGGTAACAAGAGCGAAACTCCGTCTCAAAAAAACAAACAAACAAAACAAAACAAAACAAAAAGACTTAGGTAACAGAGCAACAGATCTTTAGAATACTTTAAAGGAAATACATGAATAAAAAATATTACACTAGAATAATGACCTTAAAAATAAATGTGACCCTTAATTATGTCATTTTTTTTTTTTTGAACTAGAAAACATCTTAAAGTTGTCTTTAATAAGCTATAGCCTAGGATTTGTCTAGGAAGCAAGGGCAGCTATAAAATTTGAATCTTAAAAAAGGTACAGAATTAGATTAAAAATTCTCTCTTCTTTTCTCGTGCTTCTATTCATACTAAAAATAGCCTCTACCTATATGTCACATCTATTTACACTGAAAATAGCCTCTATCCATATGTCTTGGACATAATTTTACTCCAATCGACACATTGAGTTTTGTGTGTGAAATCAAGTATTTTTGAAACAGAGTTTTTCCCTAGAATAAGAATTTACCACTTACGAAGTTATTTTTATATTACTCACACTACTAATGTAATATTAGTCACTTTATATTCATTACCTAATTAACCTATTTTGAGAAGCCTATTTTATAGATGGAGTAATTTAGACTTGGAGAGATGAAGCCCAAGTAAAGACCACATAGTTACTAATGGAGGAAACTAATTCAAACTGAGGCTGACTCTATAAACCTAAAGTGTGCTATCATTCAAAGCTTTATTCCAGACAAAGTAAATTATAATCTCCTATAGTTCTGCTGCAACACTTGTTTTTTGAAGCTGGTAGTTTGGGAAGCAATGCACCATAACCCTGCCATTCTGCTTCTCTAGCATGGCCAGTTATGATGGACTGCTTCTTGTTTTCACAAACCAGTCATTTACTGAAGCCTCCCATGAGACAGCGCACGAATGCACGGTAGAGGGCACAGTGGAGAATTTAAGCTAAAAGAAGTAGAAAACATGCCTCCTGCCTTTGATAAGCTTGCAATCTAAAGATATACTGCCTCAAATATTGAGAGACTATAACAAGACTGGGCATGTTTATTAGGGATGACTTTGTGGAAGCAGTGTACTTTGATTAGGGTTTTGATGGAAGGGAGAACAGAAAGACCAACCCGTACAAAGGTTTGGTAGTGAAAATAAGACTTGTAGAATGATTTAATCACCCTTCTTTATTTCGAAAAAACATTTAAAAGACTTATATTTGATTATCTCTCAAACACACACAAAATTACTAACCTTCTACATTCATGGCTTCCCTCAGAACCTGAAGTTTCTTTTGTCTCTCTCGGATTCGGTCCAAAGCACTTGATATTGCTGAGGAGGTGGGCAATTCTCGAGTGTGATATATTGGATCCATTTTCTGAGGGCCAAAGATGTCCAAAGCTATACTTCCATCTGAGTATCTTGCCTCCTTTTTTCTAGGAGTAGTTGAAGTCCGCACTGTTACTGCCTCAGGGTGACAATGACGATATGTGCCAGTCTCTCCTGAAGAGAAGTCTCTGTCAGTTGTACAAAGCAAGTCCATGGATGAAGCCCAGCTCTTCTTCTTAGAAAGCACATCAATGCCAGGGATGGCTTTTTTTTCTGGGCTACTAGTTTTGAACTGGTAAGGGGAGCATGTATTTTCAGAATCTTCATGTCCAGAATTATCTGATAAAATGTCCTTGAAATAATCCTTCTCATCTTGTGAATCTCTGATGGACAGAAATCCCATAGATTTACTAAGCCCTTTGTTAAGAAAGGTCAGATGAGAGAGTGGAGGCTTTTGTATGTCTAGTACATCAGAAGTAGAGCTTCTTCCTGGAATGATAAGAATCTATCATGTATGCACAGAATTTTAAGAAAATAAATGGGAATGTAATCCGCTATTGACAATGAAAGTGGTGTCAATTTTCTAAATGATCCAAATGGAAGATCAGAGGTGAAATGGGATGGTGGTGATGGTGATAATGGAAGAGGAAAGAGATGTTACATTTGCATAACTTTTCACAGTTTATTATCTCTTATCTAATAAAATCAATAAACGAATTACATTTTGAGTGGTATTATTTTATATTCATCAAAGGTGGATTATTTGGTTTAAAAAAGCAGACCAAAGTTTCTGATACTATTCAGTTTAGAAGAATATTCATTATCCAAGAAATTATTTGGGGGCAATAACAGAATGTATTTACTACTTTAACTTCTGAAGGCATAACAAACATATGTCATATCAGTATAAAGTCCTGGTATATTCTGAACTTCTAAATAAATACACTTAAGGAAGAAAGAAACAATTCCTGCTATATTCTGGATAGAAACAGGATTGTAGCATTTGGAATTCTTAAGTATCAAGGTTTTATTATAATTAGGTATGTTTTCAGAAAACTTTATTGTGTTTGAAATCCAAATAATTTGATTGTGTTTAAGTTATGAAAGAAACAATTTTTCCATGGCAGACCCTCATGCACTAATAAAGTTTTTTCCTCTAGAACATAATTTACCATTATTTGTCAATTGTAATAAAGTATCAACTCTTATTCTTTAGTCCTTGATGTAGTTAAAATCAACACTTATTCTACTTTTTCTTAAAGGTAGTAGTAGTGTATAAATGTGACATACACCAAAAATGTCCATCCAGTAAATAATTTTGTGAATCCATAGATTCAACAACAAAAAGTCATATATGTCCACTAGTGAAAAAAGAAATGTAGGTAAATACTTTATAGTTACTAACTCAATAGCCCATAAACACTGAAGATTTCCTGTGCTACCTTCTGTGATCTTTTTAATATTCTACCCACTATATAATGACTAAAACCTGCTTAATAATAAATTGCTTGTTTATTTAAAGACATCAATTGCCTCTTCAGTGTAACAACTATAAGCTTTAATTCTCTCAAAACAAATTTTACCTTAAAAAAATCTTTAAAAAGAGAATTCATTTCAGAATGGCAGCAAATAATTGATTAAGATTAAAACATTGTGCTTTTATTGTACCTCATCTTCCCCTGAATCTACTCAAGTGTAAATAAGGATTACATCTATATTTGGGGCACAACATATAAAGAACACCAAGAAATATACCATACCACATCCAGACACAGATTGTCACAGACTCCAGCTTCTAATCTAAGATAATTTGAAAACTGATAAATGTATGTCTGTGTTACAGTATTTTAGAGGTAAGTTATATTCTTAAAAACCACATTTTGGAACTAATTAATTTAAAATTTTATTAAATAGAGAACAGAGATATTCTTGAAAATTGATAGAACACATTAGATTTAAAAAAAGAAAAGATTCAGGATCATAAACCATAGATAGATGAACTCAACCATCTGCCTTATTCTGCTGTCTTTACTACCAAAGTAGTAGTTTCCCAAGTAGTCAAAACTTGGAAAAGCACCAAACAAGTGGGTATTTGGCAATACCATAAATTCATAGTCAACCACTTTGTACAAGCAATATCATGTGTTAATAGTAAGTCTGTTAACTTTCCACAATGACTGTTCACTTTTCCTCATTTTTCACATTTTCTACCTTAACTCCCTACTCTTTTAGCTTAAGGTGTGATCATATCTCCAAGAAAACAGGAGCTGTTGGAGGAGAGTTTTCTCATCTTTCCATGAGTAATTCTATACTACTATGTCTACTCTTTTCTTTGTCATCTTAAAAGATGAAATTTCCTACCAGTTGAAGGCCAATCCCCAATATGTATTCTGGATTCCCCCCTCATTTTACTTTATCAAAGATTTTACTTCTTTAATTCTCTGTTGCTATCTCCTTCTATTTTCATTATTCGTCCTTTCTATTGAATATTCCCATTAGTATGTGAACATAATCTAGTATCTCCCATAGTCAAACCAAATAAAACAAAACCATTCCTCTGTTAAGCACATTTCCCCCTAGCTACTGCTATCTTCCCATTTCTTACTTCCCATTCATTATTCTACCCACTTTAATCAGCTTCCACCTACTCCATACATTAGCAATTCTCATTAGGTATGGCCAATGATTTCTGCTTGCCAAATCAGATGTACATTTTGGTATACATATTTTACTTCTCAGTAACAACTGATTATGATGACCATCCTTTACTCAATCTTTCCTCTATTTACATACCTGGCTTTCTCCTACCTGTCAGACTGCTCACTCTTAGACTTTGGTTTTCCTTCCTTTATTAGATATCCAAATGTTGGATTTCCTTAGGTGTCAGTTTTAGAATTCCATCTACTTACTTTGTCTTTATATAATTTCTTCCATTAACAAGGCTGTAATATTACCTATATGTTGGCAGCTCCCAAACTGATACGCTTAGGGAGTTCTAATCATATATAATGAAACTTCAACTTATACTTCAGAAGAACCACAACTGCAGCATGCTCAAAACTGATCTTCTGTTTTCCACATCCAAAACTGTCCATTTTTCCCCGGTCTTTCCTATTACAATAAGTGGCCCCATTATTCAACAACTGATTGTTCAAAACTAAATATAGGCACCATCCTTAAATCTTCTACCTTATTTAATCCCCATATCAAATCTATCAGTAAATGATGATTATTTAAATTCTCAAAGGTATTTATTATTTCATGTATTCTAAATTCCACTGCCATCACCCTATTTCCAATTAACATTACTGCTTGATTAGATCGCCTCAATGGCCCTAAGCATTTTCCTTCTCAAGAATGCATAGCTTGCTAAAAGCTAAATGGGAAACAAGAAATATACTTTATTTACAAATAAAAGGTTTCATACTTGTATTCCTTGGGTAAGAGTTCAAGAACATAAAAAATCTTTGTAACAGAACACATTCCATTTATTTTAATTAAGCTGAAAAAGACTTCCTTATAAATTACATTATATTTTAACTATTTTTGTTATATGCGATTAACATTATCCTACGTTGGATATCATCATTCACCTTTCACTTCACACAGACTCAAAAATTCACATCTCTTAGAGGTAAATTTTGAAATGACATTTCAATATTAAAAGAAGCTCCCCAAGTCCCCATGTATCCTCACAAATGTGTTCAAGTGCATTAAAATAACCCCATGATATTATTAATATGCCTCAGTTCTGAAGCGGCATCATGTTGGTATAATAATAGTGTAAGTTTCCACCTTAAGCTTGACAGGAAATGTTTGA